TTTTACTCCAAATTGGACCATAATTTATAAAATCAACATCATGCTGTATGGAAGAAGACCTGAAATGAGTGATTGAGACCTTTAACTTATATGAGCTGTTTATTGAGCTCATAAAAGTAGGGTAATTTCTCCATAAGAATCACTACTATCTGACTTTTTCATTGCAGCCAATGGAGTTGCGCCCTGCTGGCCATTACATAGAAAACAGGTTTAAGACACTTTCACGTTGCTTCACTTCACAGACCTCTGTATATATACTGTAAATGAATAAAATCCACACCCACTTTCTCCCAACGATTTTACTCAAGAAAAATAGCAGAAATAATTTAAATTAATATATAAAAAAATCGGTCGACCCATGTTTTGATATAAAAAGTTGATCATTGCTCCGCACTTCTGAGGAGGACCTTTTAAGGTTGTACATGATTTCACATGATTTCACCTGCAATGAGCTGCCGTGTGAACGAGGAGAGTAATCTGTTATCCAAATAGCAGCAGTCAGGACGCATCCAAAAAAAAAAACGAGGAGGAGGAAGAGGATCTTCTTTCTTTGAGGAGAACTGTTTCATACTAGAAATTCCACATTGAACACTTAACACCATGTTTCTAGCTGTGACCAGGTCATATGTAGGAAGTTTGGGCATATGTTACAATCTGGGAAAGCATTAGTATTAAGGTGACTAATCCTCTCAAATGTATAATGACGTCTGCAGAGAATTTTTAATATTACCTAATATTTGTATTTCTAAACCCCTTGTAGTTCAGACGAATGTTCATCTTCCACCTGAAATCCCAAAATCTGTGTCTCATTATTCTTTAACCAGAGCCGTATCTGTCTTATTATTTCTGTTTTAGAGGATTATAAATTATAGAAATATTTTTTGCATCTATTCTTGTCAGAATAGATATATTGTTGTTTCACATCCACTGATGCATATTTATAACTTTAAAAATGTTTCTTTGCAAACATGATTTTTATAAATTTGTACAGTCAGTGGATTCATTTAAAAATCCTTTGAACGTTTAGTCGTCCACACGGCCTCGAATTCCCCTCCGGATTGTGTTTGACTTGTTCTTGTGAAGAAACTTCCTCTTCAACACTTTTGCATCTTTGATGAATTTTTGCATAGAAATGTCAAATGTCACCGAGATGAACTTCATTTTCATCTCTTTGTTGACAAATTTGCAATGTACATTCAAAGCTGATTTTAAAGTTTTTAAAGTCTTCACTCTGATGTTCAAGCACTGCTCCTGTATTTCCATTACATCAGCATCTTCTGAAAACAAAGAATAGATACATAATACATAATAAACACAATATTTTACTTTTCTTAAAACTCTCTAAAATCAGATCTGAAGACAACACAGTGTTTTCTCATTAACTGAATTCATACATATTATATATATTATATCTTAACAGTATTTTTGACCCCCACACTCTGTTATATACATTTTTCTAATTGTTATACATGTTAATGTCTGATTACATGTTTCAGATGAGGCGTTACAGGGAGTAGAGGGAATGTTGCATTTACGGGAAACACATCCACGTGGCACAGCACCAGATACATTTGAATATTTAACCACTTTTAAATCAATATGACATGTTGGGGAAAAACACAATGGTGACGGTTTAACGAGATTTTTTCCCTTTTTAATTTGTTGCCTCTTACTACTTTTTATCTGATAACGCCCCTACTACTCTGTGATGGAGCTGTATTATGCAAAATGCTGGTCAGTGCTTTTGATATCTACTAATACTCACTGTCAGTAATGGACAGAAGTACATTTTATGGTCTAAAAGGGGTCAAAGGAACCTGATAGTGAGGACTTTGACATTTTTTTAAAACCAAAGTTAATCATTTTTGCCATTTAGTGTAGAGTGGAAGTGAGGAACAGGAGGAAATAAACGTCGTATTTCATATGCAAATATAGTATTACATTTATTTGGCAGCTATAGTGATGTTACAGATATAACATATAAATAAAGGATTATCTTACGCTTATAAAATATAATACATTGCTGATGATTAAGTGAGAGGTTCCCAGTCTTTGGTGATCTCTTATTAATAGAGCAGTGTCTAATTGGGGAACCTCGTCATGTTTGAGAGCTGTTGCAGATCCAAACCGAGATCTCCCCTCAAAACCTCTCACATAATTTTATTTAAATAAATCCAATATTCCACAAAATCAATAGAAAAACTTTCAAAAAATGAACACAAATGTGTGGATCACGTTTTTTCTTCTTTTCTCTCCCATTGATCATCTCACGACTCCCTCAGATTAATTGGTGACCCACTGAGGGGGGCATGAGCCCTAGATTGGGAACCAGTGGACTAAACTATCATTCTTTATAAAGTAGATTAACTAGCTCTTCATCAACGAGCTATAACCGCAATAATAATGTAATATTTATTATATCAGGCCCAGGAGACATTGTACCGCGTGAGTACTTTGGAAACTTAACAACAGCAGCGATATTGTTTAAGTAGGATTAATTATTATCTTTTATTTGTAACAGAGTAGAAGTAAACATACACTGTTTTATTGGTACTGTTGCTTAAAAGATCTGAATACATTTACGAGCAAGTCCTTTTGAAAAATCCCATTTTAATGTTTTCTAAGAGTAATGGTGCCCTCTGCTGGCTGTACAGCCGCTGTGTGCATGACTTGTGCTTCAAGTTTTAATAGCGCTGATCTAATTTATCCGCATTACCTTCAATTATTGCATTTATTGAGTCATTCTTTTGCAAAGGACTTGAGAACACTGTTGGGAAGTTCAGTGTTTAGTTTTCTCTACATTACAGTCATAAATTACAGGTCGGCCTAGTATGGACAAAGTTAACTGCAGTTTTATTCCAACTTGTTTAATGATGCAGGTTCATGAAGCGTCTCAGGTTCATCACAGGCAGGTCAGCACTTGAGACGGTTCACGTTGATCAGCTTAATGTGATGGTTTTTCTGCTGCGTCTCCAGTGAACTCACTACATTTTACTAGTTTTCCTCTCACAGTAACATTACTTTGGCCACAGCCCGTAAGTAACTTCTCAAATTAAGTAGTATTTATTTGACAGAAAATGTATCTTCTCACCTATTAGCCTGTTAAAAGAAGTAGAAAGTGTTTGTTATACAATTAAAATTGATGTGTATGTTTATCAACCACAACAAGAAGACATTTTTCCACTGGGCTTATATGAAGATACTGATATTCCGGCAAAAGTAGACGTGATGAAGATTGTTCCATGTCTGGTAAACCTGCCTCCAAGTGTCATCTTATCCTACCAACAACGTGGACGATCTGAGCGAGGGGCTGAAGTACAATTAAAAACTTTTCCAGAATATTTGATCATGTAAATTAATTTTCCAGGTGTTTCCATGACTGGAAAACTAGTCTCTGAATCTCCAGATTTTTCCAGGACGATTGGGAACCCTGAACTTGCAGCATCTGGAGTCAAAAGCAGGAAATATGTTGATGAATTACTTAAAATCCCTGCAGCCAGACTGCTGGACATTCCTCGGATCACTTACTGACTTTGGAGACAATAAAACCTCACTGTTAACTCTGCTTCAGCTCATGTGAATGCAACTACAAAAGAAACAAACATACACAGTCAGTATTGCAAACTGTTTATTCGTAGTAAATGAAAAGTGTGCAATTCAGTGAGTGGGAGAAAGAGCAGAGAGGGGTTGTCGGGGACGGTCGATGTCTTTGGTCCATATTTTGGTGGAGGGGATGTCAATGAATTGGTGGGAGACAAGAAAAGGCACTTGAGTTTACAGTTGTCTCAGAAAGGTTGTCTTGAGAAGGACTCGGGGGGAGGGGGGATCTACTGGAAGATGATGCTAGATGTTTTAATCTCCATTATGACTAATATGAATATCACATACAAAATGCTCCACGTGAGCACAAAATTATATAGCTACATATATGTATATACAGTAAGGAATCGGAAAATCAGGAGGGATAGAAGGAAGAATAAGTGAAGTGTTGGATTTATCCCCTTTGGATTTCTTTACAGGCAGAGGAAAGAAAGAAAGAAAAGGCAGCAACAGGACGAAATCATTTCTTTGGCGATAACCTAATATTCCTACAGTTTGGAATGTAAAACAAACAAACAAAAAAAATAAAATAGTGAGAGACAAAATCTCAGATGAGAAAAAAAAACTACTATCTTTGAGTCTTGATTGAACAAGTCCAGCACCTCTAACTCTAGAGATAACGCTGGAATAAAAGATGATTTGTTCATCACCTGTCCTGCAGCTTTGATTAATTCAAACCATCATTAAACAGAGAACTAATTAAGGAAAGTTGTGAAATGTGGTACATTGTCCCCCACCCCCCCACGACGTCGTCAATCGATCAAAGTCTCGGTGACATTATAATAAAGTTACCGCCTCTGAAAGCACTTTATGGAATAATTTGACATTTTAGGAAATACATTTCTTTCTTCCTGCGAGTATATAGTATGTGTGTTCTCCATTACTGTGGTGACAAGTCGCACTGACTCTGTTGAGTGTTACAGCAGCAAAGGTAGTTGGTTTAATGTTCGGCAGTGGCCCCCCAGTTACTGATGAAGGCCCCTTATATGGCCGGTGACTTTAGCTTTATTCACATTTTACATATTTAGTTAGACCCAAACTTTTTCCCTTTGAAAGGGCCAAAACTGAAACTGCATCACTTCACAGAGCAGTTATATTAATAAAGAAATCATAAATACAAATTCATGTGTTTTTTTTCTTCCATTAGGTATTCAACATTATTTAACTAATCGCCCTGGCAAGTGAACATCTTGGGAATCTATGTAAAGTGTATGGTTTCAGATAGGGCCACTCTTCATGAAGTAAAGGCTCGGGTGTTTCTCATTCAGTTTTAAGTAGCTGATAACTGCACCGGTTCTTCCTGATTTCCATCATCTTTGTAAAAAGTAACATTATATAAAGTAAAAGTGATGTGAAGAAAACTATACACTTCTTACGACAGCTCGCATTCAAACGTGTACATGTTGTACCGGGACGCCACCGCAGTAATGGAGACTCGTTTACTTTCGGTACTTCTCTAAATTTGTGTCGAAATAAGACGACTGATGATGATACAACTGTGAGCAGCCAGTTAGTTTAGCATAAAGACTGAAAACAGCTCTGTCTAAAAAGGAAACTAAATCTGCCTACCGCTCTTCTAGAGCTCCCTAATTAACATTTATATGTTTCTTTGTTTAATCTGTACAAAAATAGTGTCAAAATGGCAATGTGCCATTTTACCATAACCAAATAAGTCGTCTAGTGCTGCGTCTTCCTGCCTCATTGCGGTGCACCAAGCCGTAATGGGCTCGTTACTGCCCCCTGAGGCTGGAGAACACCCACTGCAACTACAGCTGGTGAAGAACTGCAGCCACACGGGGCAACAAGGACCTAAAGGTGAGGTTTATGTTTTATCGGAAGAGATTTCAAACAGTAAGAAAGGCATTGAGGGTATTTCCCTAAAATGTTGAACTATTCCTTTAAGTCAAAAGGTAACTTATTCATGTGTCTTTACAGCACATATTTATCAAAGACTGCTAAGAAGTTAGCACTCTTTTCTCCACAATATTAACTAATATAATTACTGGAATAAAGATGATTTTTTATCTCAAATAATATGAAAAATCTCCCTATGATCAGAAAACTCACAGAGAAACAAAAAGGGCGAGGGAAATAACATTTTAAATTCATTTGTCTGCACGAGGGAAGACGACACATGATGAAGAAGATGCAGCAATAATGTAACAACCAGTTTTACACTACGGCCTTTGCAGCTCCACCAACTGTATGTACATAACTACAAGAAGATAAGCGATGAGGAAACACCCTGTCCCTTAATAAGAGCCCACTGTGAGAAAACAGGCCGTGTCAAAAGATCAGCAATGAGGTATTCACCTGCTTTTTGTTCTCAAACCGTGGACGCTACGAGGAGACTTAACCCCAACAACAGCCTTGAAGCATCTACTTGGCAGCCGTAGGAAAGAAATCTGTGACATCAATGCAACCTCTCCAATGCATTCATCAGTTTGATCAATTTTACTTTCAGACGGGATAAAGTGAGTGTATAAAAAAGGGAAGAAGAAAAGATCTTGCATCTTATTCTCACACATATATTTTGTAAGTCACACGTCTCGCTCTACAAGTACCATCTGATTAGAAAGCCGTCATGATGCAGACATCCACGTCTCTAGAAAGGCAAATGTGAAGTCTCTCTGTGACTAAAAAGGCAAGCACGTCGTTAATATGCCGTTCATGTGCATATAACAAAAACACAAGGAGCAAACAGTGCGCGTGGAAGAAGATCCATCGGAATAAATGTCGAGAACCAACGATAAAACAGCATGTGGACAGTTTCCTTTCTTTCGAGTTTTAACGTATCATTTAACAGCACTCTACAAAAAATAATAATAATCAGCCCTCTCTTTGTTGTAAAATAATGAACAGCAAGCCGAGAACAACAGCATTCACGATAACTCCGTTGGCCAGTGGGAGGGCGATACGTCACTGCCGAAGACAACATTTAAAGGAACAGTTCGACGCCTTCACGAAACGGGGCTTTTTTACTTCCCTGCAGGGAGTCAGATGAGAAGCTTGATACCACTCTCACGTCTGTATGGTGAGTATGAAGCTCCAGCCAGCAGCTGATTAGATTATCTTAATTTATCATAAAGGCTAGACACCGAGGGAAACAGCTGGCTCGGCTATAACCTGCAGTAAAACCACAAGTTGTAGTTTTAACACTTCAGTCTTTGTAGAAAAAGAAAAAAACAAGATAGAAAGTGTTAATTAGTGAGCTTCTGAGGCGCTTGTAGGCGGACTCTGTTACATTAGGACAGAAAACAAACCCGTTTCCAGTCTTTATGTTAAGCTAAATGTGTGCTGGCGAGTTTCATATTTAGCGTGCAGACATGAGAGCTGTATCGATCCGTCTCATCTAACTCGACAAGAAAAGCAATGACCTATTTCTCAAATGTCAAACTGTTCCGTTAAGAGGGCAACCTCTGTCGAACCGTTAAGTTCCCTAATGTTTGTAGCAGCCATACAAAAAAAGAAAAAGCTCTGGATTACAGTTTGATATGTTTCATTTTCTACCTTTTAAAGATTAACGATAAGTCTGTAGTGTTGATTGCATGTCTTCTATCCTGATGACAAAATGTGACTTAATGTTAACGTTTGTACTTCCACTACACTTTCCACGGTGAAGGCATTGAAATGGTTCCGGGAAACAACAAAAAAAAAAAAGATCTGAGGTGCAAATCAGAGAGCTGACGAAAGCCACGGCAAAAATAGAAATAGTACTAAGAGTTCAACCTCAATAGTGCACAAATTGTTGCAGGTAATCCTGTCAGTCTGCTTAACTGCCGAAATTAATAACAGATACTGACAACAGCATAGCAATGAGACCTCTCAAAGGGGGGGCTAAAGATAGAAGCTGTTACCTTAACCATGATGGGCGAAATGCAAAAGGAAGAGCGATTACAGAACAGTTAGAGCTTTTCAAGTTTGAGGGATGAACGGGTAGATGCAGAGAGGTGGCACTACAGCTCAACTGACAGAAATATGTAAACTTGTATTCTATTCTTCATTGAAAGGAGTTAGTAGGAGAGGGTGGAGGGTGGAGGGTATGGGCGCGGGAGTGCAAGGGTTAGTAGATGGGTGTGATCGAACGCGGGCTTCTAATGTCAAGGGCAGTGCGTCCGCGGAGGCCTTTGGGGCAGCCCGTTGTGAGAGGGTCGTTCTGGGTTGTAGGAGGTCGTGGAGGAACGGGAGGGACCTCTTGAGTTGTTAGAGTGCTGTGAAGTAGGACCAGAAGAGCCGCCGTCACTCTGATAGCGGTGGTTAGTGCGACCGGCGTTCCTGTCGTGGTAGGAACCGCCGTTATACCGCTGATACCCTTGTCCCTGGAAAGTACGCCTGTTGCCTTGGAAAATCTGAGGGGAGAATTTAAAAAAAAATAAAAATAAAAAGGTCAGTCAGCAGCTTAAGAATTATTACAACATCTGTGAACTGTGAGGCGGATTTATGGTCTGTTTGCCGAACACAACTGCTTTTCCAGCTGACCTGTTTGTTTGGTGGAGGGCGGTTTTCACTGGGGGTGCTTTGGGTCTGGGTGGGTGGAGGAGGAGTTTCAACCAGGCTCGGGCTGGCGACAGAAGAGGACGTGGAGCTGCAACGGGACCGATTTGAGTAACCTGTACGCGGGTGATAAACTGTAAAAGAAACAACAACAACAACAATCACTGACAGTACAACCTGGGGCTCGCATCATTCAGGATTAATTAAATGGGGAATGAGAGTATGAACAATAATAAAAAGAAAGATAAAACTAGAATACTGTACCTGATCCAAACCCTGAGATGCTCGTCTTCAGCGGTTCAAGATCAAATGTAAATCTTACAGCTTTCCCAAGGTCCTCGTCATATTTACGCTCACTGACAAAGTGCTGCGAAACAACAACAACAAACTACATCAACATGCAGCAGGTGAATGTGTGTTTAATTAGCCGTTTTCTTTCAATTATTTCTGCTTGTGGTTCACCTTGGAAAAGACAAAAACTGGCGGATGAATGATTAACACCCACTTCACTGTGTATTCAAAGCGAGAGACAGACGAGGCCAAAACTGGAGCAGCAGTTTAAGTACCTTGATGTCTGCACGCAGTTCAGTCAGCTGTTCCTCAGACATGGACGCCGACTGATCCGTCAGCCGTCTGAGCTCCTCTGCTCTCTTCTGCCGGGCGTCCAAAATCAACACTGAAACAACAATGTGATGTTTAACAGATATGCACGATGTCCTTGTTTCAGACTGCACTAAATATTCTGACAGATTATGTTCTATTAAGGGGCAACAAACTATGTAATTAAATATCTTTTACATGTCTGTCAGGAATAATCCTTGAGGCTGCAACTAATGATTATTTTCAACACCAATTAATCTGCCAGTTCTTTGCTTAACTAATCGTTTTTTTTTTTGCGCTATATATATATATATAAAAAAAAAAGATAAATTTACTATCACACACAAAAACAAAATTAAAATCAGCAAATACAAGATAATTAGAAAATATTTGGTATTATGCTTTAATGGTGAATAGATGCTCCATTATAATTTACAAATCCTTCCAGACTTCATATCGCACTAAGTTTCATTTTCCTGTGAGAACTCAGCTGTGCTCTTTTGAAACGTTCAGTACAAAGTACAGCTGACTCACCATCTGAAGGTAAACAAGGGTCACAGATAAAAGATACCATGTATGTGCTAATGTGAAGGCCCATAAGTAACTGACATTAGTGTCACTGAACGCCCAGTTACGTGTATTTTAGTTTCAGGTCAAACAGAGCATTTAAATCAACATGCGGTCCACATGCAGTGTTACATGTCTACACGTTCTGTGCTCTGACTGCTGCTGTAGGAGAGAAAACGCTGAACAGAAACGCATCTCTGCTTCTTCTGTGATGGATGTCTCCCTGTATAATGCTGAATATCGGTGAAAAACAGATAATTTATACTCTGTACCACCTCATAAAATATCAGACTGCACGTGTACTACCATTACGGCCAATAAAATACAATAAAGTACAGTAAAATAAAGGCGTGAAGGCTCTTCAGCTGCTGACAGTTCACACAGGAGGGAAGCAGGTCGAGAACCAGAGCTAATTTGGTGGAAAAGAGGGTTCTCCTTCTCCACACTTCTCTTCACAATAGTTCCCGTTTGGAGAAGCAATTGCAGTGTTTTTGAACCTTTTCATTTTTACCTCTGCTTTCTGTCTTTCCATCAGTTAATAACTAATCATGGGTAACTAATCACGGATGTATGAGTGTGCTACGTGCATGAATGTGACTACACAGCAGGCTATTAGGATGAATTTTGAGCAGATTATTTCCTGTTGAGGGAACTTTTTAAACAATACTCAGTCTGTACTATTGATTTTGTACTTTTTTACAATCATACTTTGGCTTTTCTGGCTGACTGAGCATGTTGATTTACCGGTGGAGACCATAGTGTAGCTGTAGTCTATGTGCTGTGTTCTAGTGGGATCTTTTGGGCGAGTCACAGGCAATGTAAGCGATGCAACAGTCGGCTTTTGTCACCGCTAGTTCTTTGACGTCAGTTTGGTGTGTCAGGGCCTAAAAAATTCTCCTCAAATCCTCCTCTTCAGAATCAAAAGAAACGCTACATCCAGAACGACCTCTTCCACTGAAGAAATGCAAGAAATACAACAGCGTTTCTCTTGAGCGACTTGACCTACTTAACCTAGACTGTACATTTACCTGCAAACCATTCTAAAAAATATATTACTATAGAGGAGAGTTCAAGGGAAACAAGAGGAAGAAAGGATTTTTTAAAATGTCAAATAAGTAACACAGGTAGAGTCTGGTATGATTCAGTGTGCACAGAGAGATGCTAAGTACGTCTGCTATGGATTAGCTTTAAATGACTTTAACAACCGGTTCGTAGCACCAGAACTGTGTAATAGGAGGTGTTTACATCCAGAGGCGGACAGGGAGAAAAAGCAAGGTCGCGCCTGAACACCGCAATATTTTTCCAGCCTTTTCTCAACTAAAATTGTACAGTACAGCTAATTGTCATTTGTCAGAAATGTCACACCAAGCCCTGAGAAATGGGCAAACAATTAATAGCTGCTGGCCCTGAAACAAATTACTTTAATATTGAAGGGAGAAAATAGTGATTTCATTAGGAGCAAAAGTGAAGTTAATATAGTAGAATTTATTTGATGTTGACTGTCTTTATATCGAAGCCGCATCTAAAAGCATGTCGAGGTCACTCCCCAAATCGCCACTTTACCTTTGGAGCTATTTTCCCGAGCCGCTAAATATGACATGAGTGCAACAGCAGAATGAAACTCTCAAGCAAACAACTTTAGCAACAACCAACAATGAGGAGGTCAAAGGTCGGAGCCTCAGTGGGCTCAGAAAACAAAGAACAACTGTTGAGAGGTTCTGTACGCTGCAGAAGCAACAGCGGGGTGAATAAGTCATGTTGATTAAGTTTTAAGTTTCATGTAAAATTTTAATGCACAGTTGCAAATATTTGATCAGACTGAATTACAACTGCAGCTGAGAACTGAGCTGAGACACATTCAGATACATGTTTGCCTGTTAACCTCCTCTGCAAACAGGAAGTGATGAGTCAAAACTTACTATTTATCTTATTCCTGATCATGTTGTGACATTAATCCATCCACAACGAACAAAAAGTTTGTGTTTGACAACCAATGACAGACCGATGACTTTTCAGATGTTTGAGTTCGAAAAACAACAGAATTTCTCTGAATTCCTCGAAGGAGGGACAAAAAAGATCCCCTTCCAATCAAAAACAGATGTTTTTACTTTCTTTATATAATCTTGTTTAGTCACAATTTCCATGTAAGACTCTTAACAACAACAGAACTTTCTCATTGCAGGCGTTTCATTTTACTTATGAATCACATGTTTACAAAAAGAAGCTACACAAATGTATGTCTTTGTAATCAACAATGGATCAAATGACGTGGAACATCAAGTGGCCAATTTACTGAACTCACAGAAAGATATTACTCAACTTTGCAACTCTACAGGGCTTTTTAGCCTCATTTTATTCTTAGTGTTTCAGTACATTTACTTTCCTGATCGCAGTACTTTCATCAAACAAGATAATTAGAGATTTTTCTATACCATTTTTCCATTCACGATATGATTCCAATACCTGAACTTTGCGTATCAGCCGATACCGAGTACCAATCTGATATAATTGCTGTCAAAATATATATTATTTTTCAACAACTTTCAACAACTGTATACTACTAACCCTGCAAGACTGCTATCATTGTTCTATGTTCTATTCTGTTAAACCCTTTGTAACATCTGATATTTAGCTAGCTCTGGCAAACGAAAATAAACTCTTCTTTGGTGCTCTAAAACAGTAGTAGCCAGTAGCAGCACAGTGCACATAACCTTCCCTGGTCTGACTCTGATTGATTACTACTTGTTGCCTTCATTGGTTTAGGTTGGTTAGGTTTTTGCACGGGTAGTGAAATTGGTTGGGGCTAACAAATTTTGTGATATTGTACTGTGCGTAGACTCGCATACTCGCCAATACTCAATCCAGCATTTAGGCTGTATCAGAGGCATTTTCAATCCATCCTGGTTTCGGTATCGGAACCACCCTACTAATAAACCCACTGCAGACTTCCTGCCTAGCACCAAACAGACAGGCACAGTTAAAGACTACCTGGTGAAGAAGGTTGAACATTTTTCTTAGGAGTTGGTGGAGACCAAACCAGAGCTAAAAAGAGAGTGCATATTAGACCCAACTCCAATAGGATGGTCATGTTTTAGGTAAATAGGCAACTGTTTGCTATAATGTGATAGTATGTGGGGTTGTGGTTTGATAGAATTCCTTATTTAATTAGGTTTAGGATTTAACATTTGCAAGTAACTGGAGTTATAATAATTAGGAATATGTCGTAGGCAGCGTTTCACAAAGTTTATAAAGTTTCTCCTCACTCAACAACACTCAAGATTGTGTGATTTAATAACTCTTGGAATATTGCAATTACTAGTTCACCAGTCACCTGCTGTTTAGCTTAAGGGGTCAGCGAGCCCAAACATGTCATTTACATTACAGTGAACCAAATAGTGTTTTGTGTGTACTTACAGGACATCAGTTGGCCCAGGACGCACCACCGTTTACACCACAAAAGATTTCTGGCCAAACCAGCTCGACAAGTGCTTGGAGAGATCTGATCGCAATGCATCTTGGTGGTCCTTTACACATGAGCTGTGCCCTCTAATATGCTTTTGTTATTTGAGGAGGAAAATCAGAACCCAACCCTATGAGTGAGTGTGTGTACATTATAATTGGGTTTCTTGAGTATCCTGGTTATGTGTATTTAAACAGTATGAACTGGTTTTGGGAAACATGAATATGCTACCTGTAATACCCAGATAATGTGGCATGACCTGATCCTGGTTTTCTCTGTTGGTACAGAACATAGTGACTGAGATAGTGAGAAATCAAGCCGCAAGAAACTGGATACTGTTAGAATCATGTATACACGGATATAAATAACCAGCTTTCTGATGTTGCATGTAAACAATGAACATGTAAACACTGTCAGCTTGTTGTGAAGTCCACTAAGACCGAGACAAAAATATTTGATTGCTTTAGCCATAGCCAATGAGATGAGTTTTGGCAGATGACTGCAAGTGATATTTATTGGTCAAAATTGGCTGATGTCAATGACCGTTCTCAATGGATTTTGAATTAAACAAATACCCGATTGCTCAACAAGAGCGCCTTATCATTGGTTTTGTTTTTAAGGAGAACAACATATTTATAGCAGGACTCAGTCAAGACCAACTATAATATTTGGCGAGACCAATGGCCAAGTCCGAGTGCAAATACAAACGAGGCAATGCAAAGTCAGAGACAATAGAAAAAACGTCTTGAATCCGGACTCGAGTTATCATTTTGCAATCAAAATCTAAAGGTTTTTACAAGCCATAACTCTGTTCCTGGTAACACCTTTGAGCTACCCAGGCCATGTCATGAGTCCCCAAATCAACTGGGACTCCACTCAGTGTTTGAGATTATTCCTACGACTGCTTCAGATTTTGTTTTCGATTCAATTTATCTCAGCCACATTAATTTAGATACCAGTGAACAGACAATTTCACTGGAACTACTTAGTAGGTGTCCTACATCAGCAGGAATGTAAATGGACACCCTGCAGCCGCATCAGAAATCCGAGTATTCACCCAGACCGTGTTATAAATATTTTTCTATCGTCTTCTGTTTTACACCAAAATCTCATTTCTCTCTAAAATTGATCTCATGCAGTACCAGAAGTTGGAAATAACACATACTGATTATGTTATTATCACATAATTCTAACATTTTTTAAACTATGTTTTATGGGGGAGTTTTTCATTGTCACATTAAAGCTCTTGGACTAGGTTAACCCATGTGAATCCATCTGAGATGTTTTAAGTAATATTAAGGTTTATAATTGACTTGACATTAATGATCAATAAAACTGTCTGCACCGACTAAACATCATGTTTCTATTGGTAAAAAAATGATGTTCTCAAATTACTGTTTCACTTGGAATTTAAGTAGTAAATTCCTGTGGCAGCATCATTTAAAACGCATAAGACGACACATATTTCAGGATTACTGCACTGGCTCAAGTGTAAAAAACAGTTTCCAAGAAAGAGAGAGAAGAAAAAGAAGCACACGTCTCAAAGCTGGCAGGTGAGGATATTTTGAGGTTGGAAAATTTTCATCGAAACCAGATGAACTTTCGAAGGTCTTATGCAACGAGACGGACTGCTGTTTACTGTATGTGGGAGTGCAAAAACCACGAATTCTTCCTCGAGTCTGCCGAATCATGTTGAGCAACACACACACACAAACACAGAGTGAAATACATGTGCATGACCTAATGAACCAGCCAATAATGAGTGTGTACAAGTTCGTCAAACTGTGTGGTTTTTCACTGCGGTTTATTCTCCGTCCAAAAAAGCTGCTGGCAGGCATCTGTGCATTTGAACAGCGGACACACGTCAGCGCGCCTGATGTGGTTCAATTACAAATGTTTTTTAAGAAATCTCATCGTTTTCTAAAGATGCGCTGCAGTCGAGTCAGAATGAGCTTTTCTGTGAGGTCATGTCTGTGTGTTTAAAAAGACATCTTTTAAGAGGAGAGTATGTCTTTGTGTGAGAATGAATACTACAATTTTTCAGTGAATGCCACAAGTTATTGAAGATTCATTTAAATAATTTCTTTCTATAAAGAAAGGGGCACTGCCATGTCTGACATGTTGTAATCTGGCACAAGCAAAACATTTATGTCGATGAAAAGGACTTGATTTGGCTCAGAAATGTTATTAAATGTCTTTTTAATTGCCAGAAAATAGAACTTCTTCTTCTTCTCTCTGTCCAGACATCTGTCTTCCTACCATGTTAACCAATTATAATTTCGTTATGAAAAATAAAAGTAAGGTTGAAATACACAGTTTAAAAAAAATGAATCATCATTATATGCTTCAGTGTGGTTGAACGTCTGACATGTGACTCCAGATGCTTTGTCATCTTTGCTGGAGCTTAAACATGTGGAAAATTACAGATTATAGCTTGTGAAGGCTTTGATTGATGATTGAGGGGTGGTCTATGGGTTAGTATAATCACCGATATGAAACACACACAGGAAGGTAGAGCCTGAATGTGACTGTTGCTACCGATTAACAGAAAATGTAAGAAGGAAATTTCAGCTGAGTTTTGCTCCTCGAGAGTCCGTTCCTTCCTTTCTTTGCTGAGCTTTAACTGTTTATTATTTGTATATGCTGGATATTGAGATGATTGGCTCGTGCTGTTTTCGTAATTGTGATCATCTGCCAGCAAACAGCCCGATAATCTAATAACTGTGTTTTACTACATATAGTCTATGAAATCTGGTGTCACAGACCTACTTTAAGATTAAAATCGATAAACTCATCCGCTGATAAAGACGACGATTGACGGACATCTCAACAATTGACAAATAAATTGCTGATGCGTCTTCATTTTATGGGGCAGTGGGGCCAATTTCCTAATCTATCTGCTGTGGTAATCCAT